AAAGTTTAGAAATGGAATTCAAAAGTAAATTGCAAAAGCATATTTTAAAAAGTCAAACTCGCGAAGTTGTTAGCAATGTATTCGATATATGGAGGAAGAACCAAATTTGTAACAACGGACAAAAACCCACAACCGCCCACCATGAAAGCTTGAATAGCCCACTAGTGGGCAGTAGGGACCAGGTTGACGACCCCTGGTATACACTGTTTAGTGCTGCATTCTGATGGCCATTCCATTAACTTTATTTTCTTCATAAAATAATTATGGGAAACTAGATGCGACTCTGGCGGTAGTTTCATCAAACACTTAATGCATTTCAATTATTATGGTCAGTTCGGAATGCACTCTGAAGATGGTTTCATTAACTACTGACACATTTCAGTCGTGAGCAGTTTGGTGTACACTGTCAGACGTCAGATAAACTATAGAATATTATTAAGTGCTGCAGGCGCTTTAGTGCGCACTCTGTAATTTGAATCGTAACGGGAATCGTCTGTAGGCTATTGTCACATTTCGTTACTTGGTTCGTCACAAGTGCATACTCCAGCTTTATATTACTATTTTATATTTGCCTTGAAATCTTTTGTAACTTTTTCAAACATAAACTACACATTCTATTATGAGAAACTAAATCCACTTTAGAGTTATATTATCGATTACATACAGGTGTAAATGTATAATGTTGGAACTGTTAACAGTTTTAATACTTGTAAAACTCATAAGAAATATTCAAGAAGAGACTTACTTCTTAAAACGTAGTGTTGAAAATTAGGATCAATGAACAAATTGCTATAGTGCAGTCCCTCCAGGCATGCAGTAGATAGTTCCTTAAATTTGGCCACAACTATTTCATTTGATATCCTTTCAAATTCATTATTCGTTCATTATTCTACCGTTCGAATTTCGTTTATAGAAAGCGTCGTCAAATAAACCACAAATAAATAGATACACGAACGTTTTATAAGTTACAAATAAAATAAAATATTATCGTTCCCAGTATTCGGATCATTCGTGTAAGAGGCTTTTTATGATTGTCGAGAGACATCTCTTTGAAACTCTTGGAGTAGGCTAATGTTTTGCCTCAGATTCAGTTCTGTGCTTATTTACATCATTAATTTATCATTACAATACAAACAGAATTGTCTCTTTTAAATAACTCAGAAATTTGAAGAGAAATAAAGCTGCAAAAAAGGGAAAGCAACTCCCTGAATTCCTGTCTAATAGGTCTACCTGTTATTCAAAACGCGTCATATTATATTCCTTAACACTTTCTTTCAGATTATCACTGACCTGCTCGCTGTATGTAACGGCATCACATTATTACTGTGTCTTGTCATGTAATCAGTCCAGCATGTTTAAAAATTATGAACACTCGCAGTATTTATGTATTGTCATTGCGATGCGAAGTGTGTGGTGAATTGTGACATAGAACAGTGCTAAATGTACAAGCGGAAAAGTGCTTGAAAGCAAGGAATGGCGAATTATTTCAATAAAACAGATCACAGCAACGAATTGTTGTACCTTATAGTACACTTTCAATACACTAGTACTTTCTGGAATTCTGGAGCGAAACTTGAATGAATTTTAATGCAGCAAATAATAATAATAAAAAAACTAGCTTCAGTTTTTTCTGTGTCCTGTGGTTCAAGCCACGTCTCGAGACGATCTTCCTAACCACATGAAAATGTAAAAGAACAATTATCTTGAAAGCCTGTATTTTAACGTGGAACAAAAATCCAAACTTGGGAGGTCCTGGGCTCGAAACCATGCATGCTGGAGAAAACTTAAAAGGCGTTACGTTATCTAATCTTGGAGCGAAAACGATGTAAGTCTCGCTTATGTGTAATGTAAAAAAATGTAATTAAAATATTGAATATTTCCGAAGATCCAGCCTGCGGACTGACAGAGAGGCAGAGTTGACTTTCCACAAATGCACGCACTTTGTTAAAACGCATGTCTTTTTTATTTTAATCTTGCTAGTCTGTGCTCCCTATGTTATCAATATATACACGGAATTGTGGCTCTAGACCCGCAAGTTTCCCGTTAAGTAGTAAAGTAACAAGAATCTTACGCGAATGACGATGAGATTAGGGGTGGCAACCAGCTGCGTTGAGCTGCGGAAGGCCCCCCATCGGTACAGATGCGTGTTAATGGAAGTCGATAATTTGTTTACCGCCAGCCAGAGATATATAAGGCAGGGCACCTTCGATGGGGCCCACAAACATTCCAAAAGGCACCTCTAGTCAGCTCGTCGCGTGCCTGAACCACACAGAAGACAGGTAAGAACGGGAGTAGATTTCAGGTTTTCGTATTGTGGCTACGGGTAGAGGTACCGGGGTTCGAATCCTGGCACTTGCGGGGACTTACTTTCCTCTTCGTAAGTATTGTGCCCAGACGGGCTTTGGCGCACGTATACTATCAAGTCGGCATCAGGCATAAAGCAATTCGTGCTTGAAGCTAACCACTCATCTCCTTCTAATGCTGAGGTTAGCAGTGCGCACCCACTTGGGCCTTCACGACTTGATAATTGGGAGTAGAAACTTTACCTCTTAGAGTTCACTATCACTAGGTGATTTGTATAATACAAAAGTATATAATAAAATTCAGGTCAATACACAAACTTTATTTAGATGTTAAAATTTAAAATTTAAATGTTAAAATTTAAAATTTAAATTTGCGCCATTCATCACTATAACGATGTTACAATAGAGCGCCTGCATTCACTTCACTACATGTTTCGATGCAAAGCATCATCTTCAGGTGTTGTCTTTTAAAACTACTTTATATTATAATGCATGTCTTTCAATATATTCGTCCGTTTTGTTCATTATTGTAGCATGTGTTCCGCTGATCCTCCCGTTTTACGCATCTTATGTTTGTTTTGATTATTCATAAGTCGTGTTGTGTGGTGTATCTACGTCTGCTTAGGTTGACTGTCTGTTCTTATCATGTAATATCCAAAAATTCTCACTTGCTTCGCCATTCTTAATGACCACATATTTTATTCGGCGCTTTGTTTTCGAACACTTAAAATATGTCCAACCAGAAATATTATTTCGTTATATACCCTGAGCTTAAGCGTATCGGAAATTAGTATTTATGAGATGAATAAGAACAAGCTTTTCCAGAATGTATTCATCTCCTCATTTCATCGTGTACAGTATCTCATTTATGTTTGTTGCTTTTGTTCACATCGCAGATCTACATACATTTTGAAACTTATTTGCACCTACATTATGAGTTACGGTTCAGTAAACATTTAAAAATGTTTCTCGGCCACTGTTTTGTCACGTACTGAAGTGTGGTTTAGATTTGGGTTTTGTCCATTAAATATTTTAATAATAATCGTTTAGAGACAGAGACTGTTGGAACAGTGAGTTTGGGATTAACGCTCGAAATTCTCTGGTTTATGCACTATATCGATAAGGCGAACACTGATGTCCCAGTGAAAATGTTAAAGTTTTCTGTACACGTATTTTCCGCTTCACACGGAAGATGAAAGTTGCATATTATTTTTATTTATTCTTTCGTACTTTCTCTCTTTGGTATATCATATTATCTGTCTCCATCCACACAACTATCTTCCATTGAATGACGCCTTTGTTTTCTCCACCTCAAAAGTTCGAATGGTCCGGAAGTCAATGACCACTACTTGCAAGGGGTTACTGAAACAAAAGTTAGTCGCCTGTCATATTTCTGATTGGACACAGTGGCTTTCTACATCAGTGTTGTGTGAATCAGTTGGTTAATTAAATTTCACCACTCTCCCCCACGCCCCAACCCCGTGATTCTCTTTCACTTTCTATGCTAACTGATATCAATTAATCTGGTTTTACTTTCTTTATATTTGTGTTCTGAAATAGAAGTGACGTAGTGATAAACTGAAAGGTGATGGCCGGTGTCTACAAAAAAGTAGTCCTTGCCCCAGGATATCAGTCTATCACAGCATGTCAACAAGTGAAACGAATCTTGTGTTTCTGAAGAGCACCGCTAAGTGATCCATCCATGC